GTATTGACCGTAGACCTGATGGTAGGATGAATGATAGAATGGATGGTAAGATCAGCAGTAACTCTAATCCTAATACTACCATCACTTACATCCCTAACACCAACATCATAATTACCATTCCTACCACACCATCAATACCTAACCTATCAAAATGGCTGCATACAGGCACTCCCCCTCACTGCCCTTGGCTATACCCCTCACTAAACATTCACAGCTACACCCTCCTCAACATATTCGATCCATACTACCATCCACTCGTCATGCTGTACATCTCTACGTTCATCTACCTGCTACTCACGTCCCGTCATACGTTGTACGTGCTCATCTCGTTCGTGGGATACAACGAGCTGGAATACGTGATGGTGTGTCCTGAGGTGGTGCCCGTGTTGATCGTACGGCGGTGGATACTTGGGGGGTATTGGAGTGGACGAGGATATGCGATGTGGGCTGTTGGTTGGTGTGAATGTGTGTTGTTTGTGGGGATGTGCATTGTTAAATATTTGAAGAGGAATAGACGAGTTTTATAATGATTGGTAACAACGATTGATAATAATGATTGATAAGGATTGGTAATAACGATTGATAATAACGTGGTGATTATGATTGATAATAACGATTTATAATAATTGATAATAACGATTTATAATAATTGATAATAACGATTTATAATAATTGATAATAATTACTATTGTTATTAGAAGATGATTTAGTTATTGATGGTATGGCATTGTTCTTAACAACTATAATGGCTATCATAGTAATTACACAACCTTCTTCTTATGAATAGCTGCACTATTCTATTCGTGAGATGGAAATTATTTTTCTGTTCTTACTTTCATTTTAAACCAACCACTTCCTTTATTTGTGTTTCTCAGCGGGTTATGAAAATTAATTTTATGCCTGCGTTAACAATTTATCTGGACATCGATCGTAAATAATTGTTGAGTGAGTTTAGGAACATGAGAATTGCATAACAACATGTAATTTATCAATAGTAACGAAAATATGAAATAAAATTTTGATTTTACTGAATTGACCAATCAATTTGCAAATTGTCTTTTTGTTAATATTGATGATGATTTGTATGTGAATATTAAAATTGATGATGATTTGTATGTGAATATTAAGATTGATGATGATTTGTATGTGAATATTAAAATTATGAAAAAGAAGGGACCCATCGAGACTTGAACTCGAAACCTTCGGCTCCGTAGGCCGACGCTCTAACCATTAAGCTATGAGTCCTCACAACGTAACATGTAAAGATGTATTTGTAGGAGTTATCATAACTTGCTAAAAATACGTACAATTATTACATTAC